GACGCCTCACCAGCTTCCGAAGTAGACTGCAAAGCAGCAGTATTAGCACTGGCCTTACCCGAGGGCTTACCATATGCTACTGGAGACTGTATAAGACTTTTCGAACAGGAACCTCTGCCTAATTCCTGAACGCATCCCTTGTTCACCAGCGCGACGAATGATGCCGTATCAAATGCTTTTTGATTACTCATCATGTGTGTTTGCCTACCATTTAGTTACCCAGTGAGGGGTATCCAGGGGGCACCACATGGAGGCGGCAGGCATTACCCCCATCCCTCTGTCATAGAACTCTGCCGCTTGTGAATGGACAGACGTCTACCGTTACTGTGAAACAATGCGGAAATTGTTACGTGCCATTCAAAACAAGAGTCGTGGAATGCTTACTGCAGGTGTTGCACTCCTCCGTGACAATACTTGTTCACATACGGCACGACACACAGCAGCTGTTTTGACGGAATTTGGCTGGGAGTTGTTTGATCATCCACTCTACAGCCCTGGTATTGCTCCCAGCAATTTTCAAGTTTTCTTGCACCTCAAGAAATTCCTGTCCTCCGGTGAACGTTTTGGAAACGACGAAGAGCTGAAGACGTCTGTCACACGCTGGTTCCATTCACAGATGGCAAAGTTCTATGACAGAGGGATACAAAAGTTGATCCCACGATATGACAAGTGTCTAAATTCTGGTGGTTGCTATGTTGAAAAATAGCTGAAACATTTGCTGTACTTGTTGCCAATAAATATATTCCTGAAATTATGAGTTCTTTTTTTTATAAATTAGGGAAACTTCTTTTCTGGATGTGCCTCATACTTAGCATTTAGTTATAAAAATTCGATGCTTTTTTATAATTGTGAATGTGATTTGTAGTATAGAGATAGAACATACAATGCAAAGTCCTGTATCTGGATGTCTGTTTACTGGAAATGTCTATTTTCCAGACACTTTTTAACAATCAAAATGAACAAATAACTTTTCCCCTTAAATTTTTTTTGTACTTGCAATCTATTAAAAAATAGAATTAGTAAATTATTTTTTTTTATTTCTTCTTGCTTTTCTGTCCTGATATTAACTGGTGACATTTATGTTGTTGTTGTTGCTTATCCTCTTCTGGTCTGACGAAGTCAGACCAGATCTATGAACCCGTTGACCTGAAGAAAATCAAACACCAAAAGAGGAGTAGAGTAAATGTCTTCCCAGAGAAGACCAAGACAGTTCAGGATGTGATCGGCTGAAGTCCGGTGTAGATGGCATTTAGGGCAGAGGGGGTAGGTTTTAGTTCCCTCAGAAAATAGTAAACCTTTAAGATGGCCGGTAGCTAGGCGGCAGATGGTGGTGCAGACTCTCCTTTCAAAGGGAAGGGTCAAAGAAGCTCCAGGCTTATTTCCCTTGTACCAATGGTGGGTGGGGGGAATCAACCAGTCTCTGAGAAGCTGGGATTTCTTCAGGGAGTAAAGTTCAAGATAGGTAAGATCATAAGAGGTAGGGTGCGGTTGGCTGCAACCCTCTTTAGCTAGGCTGTCAGCTAAATCATTACCATAGATACCAATGTGAGAAGGAACCCACTGCAGGTGAATATTATGTTGGAGGGACAAGAGTTTTAGGTTGTTTACGATGGAAATACTGGTTTTGACGCCAATTTGGGTCCGGTTGTTGAGATGTTGCAGGGAGCTGCGGCTATCAGAGAATATCCAAAGGTTTTTTAAATAAAGGTCATTTTGCATAACAAATTCCAGACCCCTGTTGATAGCCAGAAGTTCACTTCTGAAAACGGAGCAGAAGTCTGGGTTACGCTGGCAGAGAGAAAATTTTTCATCAGGAGTCTCAATGTAGACTCCGCTACCAGCAGGACTATCGATTTTGCTGCCGTCAGTGAAAATTTTTGCGTCTTGTTTTGGAATAGAGTGAATAATTTCGAGAGCCAGTTGCTTCAGATGTTCGGGCAGGAATTCCTTCTTATTGACAGGAGCGGGAAGGTTGAAATGGAAGAAAACTTCTGGAAGATCTTCAGAAGGGTTCAAAGAACTGTGAAGGGAGTGCGGCTCTACATTATCAACAAGGAGGTTTTGAAAAACTATTTGGCTAAATGGACTGTTTTTCCTGAGCCTTTGGGAAAAAATCCAATTACTGAGGTATTCGGAAGTCTTGTTATGTTGTCCAAAGCTGAGGAGCTTGCTATAATATTTTACCAGGCTGGCTTGTCTTCTGGTATGGAGACGCAAAAGGTTAGCTTCATAATGTGCAATGTTGGCTGGGTAACTCTGTTTCAAACTTGCGATAATACGGGCAGCACTAAGTTGGACCTGTTCAAGTTTATTTAGATTGGTCTCAGAAGCACAGCAGAAAATTGGTGAACCGTATTCGAGAATAGGCCTTATGAGAGCCAGAAAGGTAGTTCTCAGAGTGGTCGCATCCGCACCCCAGTCTCTGCCAGCAATGTACTTCAAAATGTTCAAACGCTTTCTAGCTTTCAAGGTAATATGTTCAATATGCTTATTGCTGGTAAATTCAGGGTCAAGAACAAAGCCTAAGTATTTTGGATGTTTCTCATAGATAAGTTCCTGGCTCTCAAAGACCAGTTTTGGGTGATAATTATACAAATGCTTATTTGTAGTGAAGAAGGTAGTTGTAGATTTGCTTGGATTGAAGTGAAGTTTATGGTCAGCGGTGACATTTATTGTCTCAATATGCACATTTATTGTCTCAATATGCACAATTATTTATTGGTGACATTTATTGTCTCAATATGCACACTAAAAGAGAAGAGCAGAAAAGAACATATTATGAATATTAATGTAGCTGAATATTAATAGTGTTTGAAAAGAATGCCACCGGACACTTTTTTTTTAACTTCAAATTATAAAACTTCAAATATTCATTCATTAAAAAATCCATTGGATTTTGTTTCTTGTTTTAGATTATTTTTTCTTTTATTTAATCAAATTGATTTGCTTTTGAAATTCAAGACTCATTTTTTATGTTATTTCTCTCTAATTATTTGCACTACTAATTTTTTACATCAAATGGAAAAAGAAGAAAAACTTGTCTTTTCATGAAAAAGAAACGTCAAACTATAGTCTGCTCACTTTTATTATTTTTTTTAGCATATATTTTATCATTCTCAGTTAATTAAGTGTCATTCAACATGTAAAAAAACGTTGTTGTATAAAATTGGCTATTTATTATTTTTATTGAATAATGTTTTATTTTGATCTTTGTTTACCTTAAGGACCCATTATGTGGAAAAATCTTATTTTGTTGAAGATATGGGACTTTCCAAATATAGGACTTTTCCCTGTGTAAATTGAGCACCGTATTTTAAAAGTTCTTTATATAGTTATAAAGTTCTTCTATACTTTTGGTGAAATATTGAAAGAAACAACAGTTGTATTAATTTCTTAAGAAATTAATAGAAAAATGTATTTTTCAATTTTTACTTTCTTATTTTCATTTATTTAAAAATGATTCATTTGATTAATTAAATGACTTGAAATTAGCACTATTATTTAAACTAGATTGTAATTATTAAATCTTAATTTTTTTAAATTTAATATTGCTATTTTATAAGAGTTTCTTCATTTCTAATGGATTGAAGAAACCTATTTCTTGCTGGGTGGTTTTTTCCACTCAATATTCTACTGTATAAGAAACTTGCCATCCCTGGTTGTAAGTTTATGAAAGTAATTCACAGGAGTTGAGTTTTACTTAAATCATTGAGGTTTTGGCTATAGCATTTTTTTAAAGATTAATAAAATCAACAAAACACTTCTAAATACTTAAGTCTTTATCTCTCACAAATAAGAAATGCTTGAGACCAGCCAGTTGATAAAAAACAATAAAGTAGGTGTTAGACCTAGTGTAGTTTCAGCTAATAATGATTAATGAGTAACACAATGAATTGGAATTATTCAGGTAAAGGTCACTGCGGCAGCTATGTATATGTCCTAACTCACCCTATACTAGGGTGTGCACCCTTTTCTATGGTGGTTAGAGCAACCAACTTTGATCACAGACATCTTTGGTTTGAATTTTGCTGGCTGCCAACAAACATCTTTTTCTTACACAGTGGAGAACACTGTGGCGACTAGAGATGCTCAAACATGCAACACAACTATCTCCCTCCTCGACAGATGGCAACATTACTCATGAAATGCTCTCAGTTGATAGGGAGTCAGACTTCTTGTTCACTGGAGGGGGAATGTGTGGCAGCCACTGCATCTATAAAGCTTTCTAACTCACCCTGGACTGAGATTTACACCACATCCTTTTCTATGGTGGTTAGAGCATCTTACTATGACCCCAGAGGTCATTGGTTCAAATCTGGCTGGCAACAATACATGAATATAATTGCTAATGAATGATTATAGCTTTCCAATTAGTTCTTTACAAGGCATGTTTGTTACCTAGATTTAGTTTAATACATGCATGTATTTATTATGATTGAGAAGGAGTTTATATTCTTTAAAGTTGCTTCAAATGCTAAATATTGATTGTTAAATACTTGTATGTAATTTACCTTTATCTGTATTTTTTTTTATTTTTTAAATATATCGAACAGCAATTTTCAAATCTAACCTCAATATTTGTTTTGTGTATTAGTTTTTTAGATTTTATTTTTATTTATTTTTCACCATCTTTTTCTTTCAGTTTTATTTTCGTTTTGAATTACTATATTATTAATTGATAGAAAGCTTTTAATTAATTTTTATTTTTCAGAAAATGCATGATTTATCTTGTCTTTTGCGTGACATAAGTAAGTTTATTTTATAAATATTTGAAATTAGATAAATTGCTTGTATTTTGCTTTGAAACAAACATTTAATTTAAATATGTTGTTATTTCTAATCATTATAAGTATTTTCATTAAATTATATTCTTACATTTCTTAAACATCCATTCTATGTATAACCTCTGATATATAACTCTCAAAGTTTTCGAATAAATAATAAAACGAGTATATTTAGTTTAATCACCCAATTTTTAATATTTTACATTTAACCTGCAGGAAGAAGATCCACAGTGGTATTTTTTATTAGTAGATTTTTCGCTTGATGGAATTGTTGTAACTAAAGATGGAGAAGTTGTTGTGATTGACTTGGACAATCTTGTTGTTTTAGATAAGGCTACATTTTTGCCAGGTATTTAATAAAGGATTAAGATTTTTTTAAAGTAAAAAATTGGATATAAAATTACAGATCAGGGCTTGAAAAACCGCACGTCCTCGGCGGTCAAATATTCCCCACGGACAGCGAATTTCTTGAATCCGACGTCCGCATGGACTGCCATTTTCCCATTAATGTTCGTGATACATATTCAATTTTTGTTATCTTACTAGAGTCTAGCGCCTCACTTCTAAAATGACCCTCTAATCTAGAAATACAACAACATACTGTGTATGGTGGAATTGATGTTTTCTTTGTCTGGGAGTACTGCAGCGGTTGAAAGGGGCTTTTCAGCAATGAACTTACAAAAAAACACATTACGTACTGGTCTTAAACAAGAAGCGTTAAACGCAATTACAGGGCTGATTGTGCTCCGGAAAAAATCCGGATTTTCAGATTTTTCGCTAACAGTGATCCGGAAGTTTCCGGAGATGGAAGGTCCAGGCAAAAGGTTCAAAAAATCATTCATCACAGAAGTTTCCAGAAATCAAATTTTCAAAGGTGGACCTTAACACAGTTTATTTTATTTGTTTGTAAGGGAAAGCCAGAGAGATACTTTATAAGCTTATATTCATGATTAATATTAATTTTTTTTATCTGTAAATAGTTGTTATAATCATAAACTCAAGAAAGAAATACATATTTGTGAATTTTAATTACTTCTCCAGGTAATCATAGGTATGTGTAAAATTTAAAATATATTTTAAGTAAACTAAGAAATATTGAGAAAAAGGAAAGAAAAAAAAAACTTATTTAAAATTTTTCAATTTAAACCGTTTTTTTTTTTTTTTTAACTGAAGAAATTTTCCGGAATTTTGACTTGGGCTCACAATCACCCCTGCAATTATGAACATCTACCAAAATGGAAAACCCCTTTCAGATTTCTGTGCAGAAACCTCTGTAAATCATTGGCTTGATTGTGGAACTGGCAAACGTCATATTTGATTCATTTAAAAAACGCAGTACCCTCGGATAAATTGACATTCCAGATAACTTGACCTTTGTCATTTAAATTATTTCATAAAAAAAAAATTATTTCATAAAAGAAATATTAGGTTACTATTAGTAACCTAGTATTTCTTTTATTACTGTATAATTTTATCCCAGTATTTGTAATCCTAGTAACTATTAATTCATTATGCAATTTATATAAATGTTTGTAATAAATAAGAGAAAATTATATTTTTATTTATTTA